GCAAGTATTATTAATGAGCTATTTGTCTAGTAAAGCATGTCAAAAGAAAAATAACTAAAAACACAGGCAACTACAAAGAGCTGACTTTGAAATGTATAAACCAAAGCATCAATTTTACAGAGGTATAAAAAACGGCTATTCTCTTTATAGAGAACTAAATTATATTCTCTAAATTATATTAGAACTTATCTAAAATGTATTAAAAATAGTCTTACTATTGCCTTTAAGGCTTCTTAAACACTGGACTTTCACCTACAAAAAACGCCTCTTTAAATCTGTCTTTTTATGCCATCTAGAACATCTACAGAACCTGACAACCTGACAAAGGATCTTTAACTATATCAGACTTATTATTATTAGCAAACTGTGATCAAATCTGAAGTTAAAGAATTTTAACCTGCAACTAAAACCAAAACAACCAAACTCACTGCCATCAAGTTGATTCCAACTCATAGTGACCCCCATTGGGTTTGCAAGGCAGTCAATTTTTACAGACATACATTGGCCCATCTGCCTTCAGTGGAAGAGCTGGTGAGTCTGAACCACCAACCTTCTGGTTTGCAGTCAACTGGCTTAGGCACTACACCACCATCAGGGTCCAAAAGACAATAAATAAAAGGACAATATCATATACTTGAAAGAGCCTAGGTGTCGCTGTCTGAAGACCTATGAGTATTTGTTCTAAGTAATGAGTTTGCAATTTATTTCATGATCACTAAAAACTAACTCTAAAAACTCTTTGAATCAACTACTATAGGGGTTTAAGTCAAATGTATGGCTATTTAGAATAAAAGTACAAGGCTTCATGTTAAAGCTTGTATTGAGTTGATCTCAATTCTGTCATCCTCTCATTTCCCCACACCTTTTCTAACTTTTATTATTACAATATTTGATTATCTCTATAAACTCCCTTAAATTCTTTGTTTATTTCAAATCTTTTATTCCAAAAAAATATCACAGTGTAACCTTGGCAAGATCCTGAAACCCATTACTGAATTTTCTCTTGCTCATATGTCAAAGTGGGATATATCAATGTAACACACAGTATGTTATAAGAAAGATCAATGGATAAGATAGCACATGGGAAGGCCCTTTATAAACTGTAAAAAAGTATGTATTTCATTATAGTACAAACTAGTATAGAATACAGTATGATTATCCTTCACCAAAATACGTATTACTGATGGGGTACTTCCTATTATTTCAGAAATAATTTTTTCCAAAATTTTAGAAATAAAAATCCTACAGTCTCTAAAAAAAGTATATGTGATAGATGATGAATAAAAAGTAAGAAATTGCATGAGAATTTCCACTCTAAGTAAAACCAGTTTTATTTCTAATAAGAGGACCTTATGAAACTAATATTATACCTTGAAAAACCCAAAGATATACAATGAGATATATTCATTTCATTTTGAAACCTGTCTTTTCTCTTTTTTCTTCTCTTTTTTTTAAAATACACTTTTCAAGCCAGACCAAAACTTTCAAGGGGAAAAAGCAATAGGAATTTCCAGATTATGTCACATGGAAAGTGGAAGATAGATGAGACCAACATTTAATTGAACACCTACATATGCCAGGTACCTTAATAGATACTATGCATGCTATTTACTTTAATTTTTTATAAGATATTCTTATTCTCCACTTTATAGATGAAGACACAGACCTCAGAGGTAGGGAACTGGTCCAAAATCATTAAGTGAGGTCAAGTTGAATGGTGAATCAGGATTCAGACCATTTCTCTCTGATCTGAAAGCCCACTGTCCTCTCTATACCGTGGTCCTTGGGGGATATTAGTATTCTCCCAAATCAGTTGAGCTGGGCCTGGCTAAAGAGTCAGCTGTGTAAACACAGAAAAGAAAGCATGGGCCAGAGAAAGATAGAAAGGAGATCTATTTTCATATAATGTGCCTATTGTAAGAAAATTGGAAACAAGACTCCAGTGCAAAAGTCCATAAATTTTACAGAGATATGATTCAGACTACTAAAAATATTTCTGCAGATTTGTAGCTCATACCTTAGAGTAAATTTATTCTGCCAATATTGGTTTTATCTTTTCCTCTATTTTGACTTGGAGTGTTTTTCATTATTTTATATTTAAAAAGAGTCTGAGCTAAAATGTTTATAGAGATCAACCAAGTGCCCACTCTCATTTTACAGATAAGAGAAGTGAAGTCCAAGATAGAAAGGCTATCAGAAAACCCTTCAGTGGCTACGAGACTCTGCTCTAGAGGCTAGAGTATATTAAATTGATAGTCTTCCCACCAAAATGTAGACATGATTTCCCACACAAGACTGCTTCCAAATTCTGTGGCCTATTTACAAACTGATATTGTCCTGTTTTGCTTTGGGCATGATGATTTTTTTTTTTTTTTTTCATTTGTGTGACAAACAAAATAGAAGCTAAGCACACTGAAAAAGGATCAAATTTGCATTTGACTAAATAAACATTAATCTAACAGCACCATAGTATATGCTGGGGATAAAAAGGGATAAGTCATATTCCCACAGTCTATAAGGAGAGATGCATTTACAAAGAGTTCCTGGGGCAGAAGTTAGTTCTGGCATGGATATTCTCAGGAAAGTAAATTGCCACAACATTCCTTCCCAACCATTTTTATTTTTCATTGTGAATTAGGCCTTCCCTCCAAAAGTTAAATGCTTAATTGGTCTGTTTATGTTTTAGTTCAATGTGTCACTCTACCTTTCACCAGGGTTTAGGAAAGAGGTGAATGAGTGATCCATACATACTCCCCCAACACTGAGACCAACTGCTTCATTCTAAAGATCTGAAAATATTTATAAATTAAACTTACTTTTTCCAATTTTTATTATGACTTAGGTGAAAGTTTACAGAGCAAACTCACTTTCCATACAGCAGCTCAAATACACTCTCTCATGACATTGACTACAATTTCCCACAATGCAACAGCTTCCCTCCTACTTCCTCCCCATAGTTACCTCTTCCCTGTGTCCTTCCCTCCCCTGCACTCCTGCCACATGAGCTGTCTCCCTGTGCATACACAGCCCTTCTATTCTCCCATGATTGATCTCTTCAAAGAGTGTATCTCCCTAATGTAAATGTTCAGCTCATATGCCTGTCTTTTGTTTGGCTGGAAGCCACAGGAGTGGGTTCATTTCCAGACACGAAGTGTAGCTAGGGGCCATAGTCTGTGGTTCCATCAGGCTCTATCACACCGGCAAACCTCGTCCTTTTTTTTTTTTCCAATGATTTTGAGTTTTGTTCCACATTGTTCTCCCACTCTATCCAGGATCTCCTACAGAGGTCCCTATCTGAGTGGTTGACAGTGGTAGCCAGGCACCATCTAGTTCTTCTGGTCTCATAGTCATATAGGCTGAGCATCGCATGGTGTACCAGTCACTTGACGAATTGTTTCTATGCATCTTTGGTGTTCTTCATTCGTCTCTGCTCTGGATGATGAGAGACCCATCGTTGCCTCTAGATGGCTGCTTGCAAGCTTTTAAGATCCCAGTCGCTACGCACCAAAGTAGGATGTGGAACAGTGTTTTGGACAGTGCATTATGCCAGTTGAGCTTGATGTCTCCTGTGCCTATGGTCCCAAACACACAGGTCCAACTACTCTCTCCCTCTGGGTAGCTGGCTGTGGCCAAGAAGTGACTACAAGCTTGCCCCTTGACAGCTCTACCATATACCTGGGAATTCTTATAGAACATACAAATATACTTTTAGAAACAATGTCTGCCAACCCTGTACATGGTCTTAGGCACACTCACCCCTGCAGAGACACAATAGTTCAGCCGGTACAACCATCTATTCACCTCTATATATCCATGTTTGCCTTCACTGACCACGTAGTAATGTACATGCAAAAGGGTTCATCTTTATGGTCTGTACCTCCCATGCACCTCTTGCTGACTTCTTCCTCAATGCCACTGTGTTGATCACTCACATTGGGTACACTGCCCTTCTCTTCACCCAAATCAATACCTGTCTCTACCTATCTAACAGTGTTCCCTTCCCTCCCCTCCCACCCTTGGTAACCACCAAAGAAAATTTCCTTAAATCAAGATTACTTTTAATAAAGTAACCTTATATCCTCAGCAATCTCAGTCTACTGGCTCTGCCCACAATCACATAAAAAGTAGAGTATACCTGTCCAGCATTAGAAATTATTTATGGCACAGATGGGGCTCACAAATTGTTTACACAGAAGATGCGAGGTAAATGCATTCTTCCTCTATAAAGAAATTAATAAGAACAGATATGATGATAATAGTCATTTAAAATGCTACTTAAAAATGAACAAACCAAGAGGGGGAAAAAACACACACACACACACACAAGAATGTTATGCATTGTTAAGTCTAAAGTGGCTCTAGAGACTTTTCTCTGTCACTCACTAATGCTAAAAAGCTGGCAGTATTTTCATCTGATTACTACATGTTTCCAAATGTAAAGGAAATATTCAGAGATTTTATAATTTTAAGACTGTATATTTCTCTTCTACTTGGGAGACTCTCTTCCATCTTTAATTAGTCCCTTCCATTAAAAGTTTAAAATATGCACATATTTCAGGAGAAATAGGACTGCAGAGCGCAGAATGTCACTGGGAGTGGCAGCTGTGATTACATGGAGGAGTGACCTGGGTCAAAGATGCTAGAAGAATAAAGAACTCTTAATTTAATATAGAAGGAGCCCTGGTGGTGCAATGGTTAAGTACTCAGTTGCCAACCACAAGGATGGTGGTTAGAACCCACTCAGTGGTTCTGTGGGAGAAAGACCAGCAATCTACTCAGGTAAAGATTACCGTTTAGGAAATCCTATGGGCAGTTCTACTCTATCACATGAGTGAAAATCAAGTTAACGTCACCTAAAAACAACAACAATTAAACATGGTCAGGAAAGGAAAAAAAATCTTTGAAGTCTTTATAAACATAACCAAATTTAAACCCAGTTATCTTAAAAGTCCCCTAAGGACTTCATGCAAGTTTCAACTTTGCTCAAGAAACCATCTTACCTCTTTTGATTCATAAGAAGTTCTCTGTGAAGATCTTGATGGTTCCGGGATGTTTTGACAGGATTGATTAGTTTTTGAGGCCTAATTAGTTCAGGATTGTCATCTTCTATATAATCTGGTTCAGCCATGATGTTTCTTGGAATGAGATATGAGTCCTTGAGTTCAGTATCCTCAAATGAGCTGTCTGAAATAGAAAAATGAGAAATACGCATTTGTAGTCTTTCTTCTAAGACTTCTCTCACAAATGCCAAGGCCCAGTACAAATGTGCGCAGTATAATGTACCAGAAGATGTCACGATCCTGGGTACTTCTGTACTTCATTGACAAATCTGCTAAAGCTTTTTTAAAGTGTATGGGGAGTACAGGGTAAGAGAAGAACGTCCGCATTGTTCTGTGCTGCCTGTGACTAAAACAATGGAGTCATATAACTGGACTAGAGTGTTTGGATGAGTCATGATCAATCACACCTTGAAGTTTCAGGTCATTTAGGATGCTTCCTTCCACAATGTCTATCAATGAATCATAAGCAGCATTGGGTCCTTTATTACTTTCTTCTGCCTCAGTGAATTAGAGTTTGTTTTTTTTTTTTCTTTTTTATATAAATATACAAAAGGAGCTTTGGTGGCATGATGCTTAAGGCATTCAGCTGCTAGCCAAAAGGTCAGTGGTTCAAACACACCACCTTCTCTGAGTGAAAAAGATGAGGTAGTCTGCTTCCATAAAGATTTATAGCCATGGAAACCCAATGGGGCAGATCTTCTTTGTCCTATAAGGTTGCTATGAATTAGAATCAATTCGATGGCAGTGGGTTTCGGATTGGTTTATAAATGTACAAAAACCTGACCCTGCATTGATAACTACAGAGTTTCTAGAGCGCAGAGGAGTGTTCCTTACTCTGTAATGCTATTGGCTGTCCTCCTTCTCCCCTTACTTGAGTGCCTTGTGGGCTGCATCCTATTTGTATCCTTTCAGTTCTTTCCTCAATTGTCCCTTTCTCAGAAGAGGTCTGACCTCCTAACCACCCATTGTGGTTTAAAACCACCATCTCATGCCTACCCCTCAACATTTCCCCACTTTATCCACACTACATATTTTACTGATTTGTAATTGGCTCTCTAGAACATGAGAAGCCCTACTGGCACAGTGGTTAAATGCTCAGCTGCTAATTGAAAGGTCAGTGGTTTGCACCCACCATCTAATCCATAGGAGAAAGATGTGATAGTCTGCTTCTATGAAGATTACAGCCTAGGAAATTTCATAGGGAAGTTCTATTCTGTCCTACAGAGTCACTGAGTCGGTATCAACTCGATGACAACTTGTTTGGCTCTATCCCCAGTGCCTAGAACAGTGTCTGGTACATAATAGGCATTTAGTAATACACTAGTGGAAGGAAGGGAAGGAGGCTGGTTTTCAGCAAGAGCCTATCTTATTCTAGCTTTTTCTGGAGTGGGGAGGAGTGGGAGTTGTTATTGGAGTCTGTCAGAAGGAACAATGTGATGTAGCACTTGGACAAAATCACATAACCTTTCTGGGCCTTGGACTCCTGATCAGTAAGGAACAGATGGTCACCCCTATAGTCCGTTCTCCCCTGTTCAGTTTTTAATTGCTCATTCTATGTTCAAATATGTGTCTCCTCACCAATAAGAGAAGCCCCTGGAGAGCAGGGTGTATGTCCCCTTCTTTCTTATACTCCTGTAGCTAGCTATCTAGGGCAGTGTGTGGTATGTCAAGGGTGTTCCATGAATATATTTTATACTTAGTAAGTCAGAAAAAAAAAAAAATCAGCAGCAGCAAGAGCTAGGAGGAACAAGCCCGGCTGAGCACGCAACTGCAAACAGCCCCTGCTGCAAAGCGCCCAGCTGCTGTAGACCCTTAGGCACATCTCCTGCTGCTGACCTCATCCTTGCTCCCATGCCCCCAAAATAAACCTGGCAAATATTTCAAGATAATTAACACAGCATTTTATGCTTATCTGTCTTTGTATGGCAACACTATTTCCCAAATCAAAAATCAGGCACAGACTCTGACTACTGGGCAGAATACCTGCTATTTGATCTTCCCTAGAAAATCCAGGACACATGATTACTAATTCTCTGGATACTTCTTTGCCCATGGGTTGAATAGGGATCAGAGAATAGGGTAATGGGTACAAGAGAGATTCACATCTGAGTGGGTTCACACCTAGTACTGCCACCCTTCTCCAGAGAAGTTTCACAGTCCTTCCCACCTCTGTGCCCACACAGTGGTGTGTATAATACATCCATCATAGCATGCATCCTAACATCTGGTCACCACTGTCTGTGAGGGCACAACCACTTCTTTCCAGTTTTAAATCCCCAGGCCTAGCACAGTGTCTGGAACATGGAAGAAATGGAATAGATGTTTCTTGAATGAAATTAAACCTGTACTAAAACAAGAAGTGGAGAGGTCCTCCATGAACAAGCTCCTGGGCTGAAGAAAGGGTCTGTTTGTCTGCCCATGCAATCAGTACATTGAGCATACATCTAGGTGAAGAAGAGACAACAGGGACATGTTTCTATGGACACTGGCACACAGGGGTGTAGAGGCTGGAAATAAATGTTTCCTACTAAAATAAAAAAGCCAACAGGTCCAGTGGCAGTCTGCTAAAGTAAAAGCAGGAGTTTGAGTTTCAAAGTTATCAATGATGTTTTCATGAACCTTGAAGTGTCCTCAGACACTAGATGCTGTAGTGTAATGCATCTAGTAGGAAACTCTCAACCAAGTACAACCAAGCCTGCTGCAGCACTTTAGATACAGCACAGGCAGGTACCCAATCTCAGTGATTCTCACCACAACCCTATGAGCAGAAAGCTACAATTCTCAATTCACAGATGATGAACAGACATAAAAGTAACTGGCCTAGGCTTCTATCGCTGGTAGCAGATAGCTGAAACTACAATAAATGCCTTCAATATCAAAGCCTATGTTATGTTGAGCTAACTATGAAGTCTGACATTTTTATAACAAAACCTTTAAAAAAAATTAATGAAAATTATTAGGATGAAAATACCAAAAATAAATTAACTAAAATACATGCATTGCAGGTGTTTCATTCATTTATATATGTTAGGTATAACCACATGATTAAGGCTCCAAATTACTAAATGATAAGATACATATATATATATATATACACATAACAAAATACACCAAACGTTCCTTAAAAGGTATCTGCATTGATCTTTTAAATAAGAATGTCTATAACCTTCACCAATTTGAGAATTACAAAACTTGTGCATGGTGAGTCAGTGACCCTGGCTTTTAAAATGTTGTCTCATCGAAAAATGTGTTCCTCACTTGAAATGCTAAGTATTTATCATGCACACTTCTATGCAGGTACAACTGTCTTTAAAATCAAACAGCAGTTTCATTCCAGGTAATCAGTAGATAAGAAGGTCTGAATACCTCCATAAAAGGATGGGTTTCTCTGCCTTGAACCATGGATAATCACCATGACACCAAATCAAAACAGACCACTGCTCCCTAAGGTCAATATTGCAACAGGGGAGGATACTGATGAAGAGACACAAAGAATGCCCCGCCCACAGCAGCCACACCACTTGTACATTGCACCACCACCACCTACCACATGCCAAGTACCTCCTCCACAGCCACGTCTCCTCCTCTTTCCCCACCTCTCTTCTTCCTCCCCTTCCACTGAGCTCACCTTCCTCCTGCTTCTCTTCCTCTCTCTCCCTTCCTGTGAAGAAGCATAGTATTTGTGACTTCCTGTTTTTCTTAGAAAAACTTGTATTTGGTTGCTACACACGATTCAAGCATCTTTCAAGCTGCTGTAAAAACCTGTTGCAAATATAAACTGCTCACAAACCATTCCTCTCTACTTAAATTGGATGTTCAAAGTGATACACCCTATCACATTTTTCCCGATTACCAAGGTAATATATGTTCACTATAGAATTTTGACAGCCTATTCCTTTTAGGAGCTCTGGTAGCACAGTGCCTAAGGCACCTTGACTGCTAGCCAGCCCGGTTCAAACCCACCAGCCACTCCTCAGAAAGAAGGGTGGACAATCTACTTCTGTAGTAATACCCCCTTGGAAACCCAATGAGGGGTCGCCATGAGTCAGGTCCGACTTGACCGCACATAACAACAACATACAATTTTGAGAAAAACAGAAAAATATGAAGGAAATCAACTATTTGGAATCCTACTGTTTTAAAATATCTGGTGTTATTCTCTTGGTATAATTCCTCTGGGTCCTTCCTCTTTGTGAGAGTATATAAACTAAAGGCAGTGTGGTGCCTAAGGCATTTGACTGCTAACCAGAAGGTTGGCAGTTCAGATGCCCCAGCCACTCCATGGATGGAAGGCTGGGCAATCTACTTCCAGAAAGATTTACCGCCTCAGAAACACAAAAGGGATCGCTGTGAGTTGGGATCGCTATGAGCTGGAATTGACTGGATGACAGTGAGTTTGGTTTTGGTTTATAAACCAAAAAAATCAAACTCACTACCATCGAGTCGATTTTGACTCATTGTGACCCCTCCCATTGGGTTTCCAAGGCTGTAAATCTTTATGGAAGTAGATCTCCCCTTACATAACCCTCTTTACTAGTCCCCATGCTTGCTGGGCATACCCCTGCCCATGGCCTTCGCTAGAGCACAAACAATTATACATTCTTAAACCAGAAAGCAGGGACAAAGCAGGGGCTCAGACTCTAGTGGTGAGAGATAAATGAAAAAAAATAATGAATAAGTAAATTATACAGTATATTAGGAAGTGATTACTGTAACTGGCAATAAAAGTAAAGCAAAGTCAAAGTCAATTATAATTTCAAAGAGGGCAGAGTGGGCCTCACTTAAAGGCTAGAAGGAAATGAGGGTGAGCCATGTGAATACTGGAAGAAAAGCACTAGGACAGAGGGACAAATCCATGGGCAGGGATGTGCCTGACAAGATTGAGGACTGGTAAGGAGGGGAATCTGGAATGCAAAAGTTGGAAACAAAGACGAATCACCAGGAGTTGGAAAATTTGGCCTTGGTGACAGAAATAATGCTGGAACTCGTATGGTAGAATTTTGCAAGACCAACGACTTGTTCATTGCAAAGACCTTTTTTCAACAACACAAACGGAGGCTGTACAC